GATAGTAAGGGGAATCAAGTACACTCCATTAAGGCAGGACATTGTCTAAGCTTTATCTATAATGTGTAACAAAAAATCAATTTGTGGGCAACATACCTAAAGAGAACAGTATAAATGCAATTCTTCATTTATTGGGATTTCCTGAAAAAGCATCTGTTGAAAATGTAACATTATACTAGAACTGAGCAAAGACTGAGAATCAAGATAGAGAACCAAAATATCTATGTAGCACTCAAAATGTTACAGGAAAGCTTACCTAGGCTATGATGGAAAGAGCATATTGTAAAAGGTAAAATAAAAGAAAGTTAAATGAAGGGAGAGATTATGATAAAGCTTTAAAACTAGGCAGAAAATTAATGTAACAGCAACTGACAAGTCAAAAAGTGTGGGTGTATATCAATGGTAAACTGGGAGAATACATACTTAGCATGTTGAAGGATTTTGGTTCAATATTCAGCTCCCCCACAACCCCCCAAAAGAAACAAGAGATAGCAGAAAACAGTAAGATTCTACTACATCAAGCATGTATGCATATTCTGTGCTCTTGGATCGTAATCACAGGTATTGTTATGCACTTATAGTTTTTGACATATAGAAAGCTTCTAAGAGATTGATGTAGAAATGGATATGCTTGTGCATATATACATATATACCCTAGACCTGTCTGCTTCACAGGACTATAAGGAATGACACCACTGGCGCAATGATCATGCCAAGCATCCAGACCTTGGTTTCTCAATTCCCCTCTTTAGTAAAAACAATATGTGAATAAAAAGGCTTATTCCAAGGTTGGGACTAAGAAAGTAGAAATGAAGATTTTTCTAGCACCAGTAAATGAAGAGATGCTCAAAAGTGATGGGAACATGTTAAAGGGACATGGAAATCAATGAGAAAGGATTCCAGATTTGCTATATCTACAGTGAATTTAGTAACTAATTGTAATAAAAGCATAAATCATTGTAATTCATAAAAAGCAAAAATTCATTATATTTACAATGCTGCACACTGAATACACAGTAATTGACATAAAATAAAAATACTGAAAATGTATCAGAAGTTCAAATAGTTAACATAAAAAAATTATGAAAATTAAACCCAACTGTAACAATCATTCATGACAGAATCATTAATAGATGCTGAAAATGGTAGAGAAATTATAATGAAAAACAGATTGTATATACTGACTCACAGTATTGTCCCATATAGTCTCAAAAGATCAGTTCGTTCTGTATTTACAAAGCTAAAACGAGACTTTATACAGGATCAACTTGGCAGACACTATCCTAACCAAGCTGGCAAGATTAATTCAAGATAAACGGTCTCATATATTGCATATGCAATCATCAACTGCCAAGTGAAAATACAAGAGAAAATTATAGCTTCTTACAATACAACAGGACAGATACATATATTAATATGTTCACAAGACTAAAGATACAAGGCTGCAAATGTAGCTCAGTTGAAAAGAGGTTGTCTAGTATGTGCAAAGTCCTTGATTTGATCCTCAGAAATACAAAAAAAGCCTAAAGTTAAACAGATAGTTGAATGAACAAAATTCTGTATGAGAAGGAAGTTAAATTAGTAAAATCAACAAAACTGAATTGATCATTTTTGGTAAAAAGGTATCAGCATACACACATACCCTATTTATCACAACAGACATGTTTCTGAAATTTTCAGCATTTTAAAAATTACTGTGGAAGCTAAAAATAATTATAAGGCAACTTTTTCTTCAAAGTAAATCATCTGTCACAAACTGTAGGTATTCTGTAAATCTGATTTTTATTGTGATTGCATGCAATCATAAAACCTGTGATTGTTTTTAGATTACATTTGAACTATCTCACTCTATACACATATGGAGATCAAATTTGTCTTTTTAAGTCTAACTATTTGTATTACGCCATACTACCTTATATAAAATGAGAAGGAAGAGATGTAATCTCATTATCATTAACATTTCACCTTCTGTGTACAGAATAAAAAGTAACAGAGATCCAAGTACTTTGAACATGACATAAATCTATGGACTACATACAAAGAAAACAGAATAAGACAGTACTTGGGGCAAAGTCTGAATTCAAATTTTCAAGCTCTTCAGCCTATTGCCTACATGACTTTTAGTAGTTTGCTTAAACCCTGATTTTTCTCATGAGTAAAGTAGAGCTATGGGTACATATACTGTAGGTCTGTTGTGAAGAGTAAATACAAAGACCAAATTTTTAGTGTGCTTCAATCTCTGGGTTCGATCCCTAGCACTGCAAAAAGGGCTAAATAAAATACGTATTACCATAGCAGCATAGTACTTTGCACATAATAGACACTTAAATGTAAAATAAAATGATAATGAAAACAATGATGACCTTTTCTTCCTATGGAAAGGAATACTTCATAGAGGAAAATTTATTTCATGGCCAAAAGCCATACTCCTACCTTTGATAAATTTCTGCCCCTGGTTACAAGGCACATATCATGGTTCAAATTACAGAAACCTATTCACTCTACTGCACAAAAGAACTCACAAATTTCTGTAAAAGAGTAGTATAATTTTGCATAGTATTTATTTCCATATCATAAATCTGCACTGACAGTGAGTTTCTATAGCTGTAATTACCTTAACACAAAAATATGTTATGCCATCACTAGAAATGGCCTTCCAAGTCTAAACCTGCCTTGTTTTCTTTTTGTTAGTCTTTCAGTCTTTTTGTTAGTCTTTCAGGATTATTTTACTCTACTTAATGAACACTCTCCCTTAAAAATCATGCACAAATTTGTGATATCTGTATTTGGCATGACTTTAGACATAAAGAAATCACACAGCTGTGAAAAAGTAATGTGGTTTTAAAAGCAATACTCTTCCTAATATAAAAACCTCAGTAGGGGCTGGAGAAATGGCTCAGCATCTAAGAATACTTCCTGCTCTTGTAGAGGACTTGTGTTCAGTTCCCAGCACCCACATGATGCTAACCACCATCATTAAGTCCAGGTCCAGAGGTTTCAACATCCTCTTCTACCCGTTGTGAGCAATGTACACACTTGGTGTGTTTGCATACATGCAGGCAAAACAGTCATACAGATAAATTTAAAACAAATAGTAAAAAGTCTCCATACTAGACAACTTCAGTCAACAACTAGCCCCACCACCCTCTAGTTTCACTCTGGAGAAGGTCACCAAAATCCGTAGCACAAGTATGGAGAGCAGATACCATTCATATTTTTGAGATGATTAAAACTTTCTTTTAACTGGGACATTTATTTCTGAAGCAGGAAAAACAAATCCCTGGATTTAACAGAGATACAAAATACTAACATTATGAAAATGGAATGCAAATGTTTCCTTTAAAAATTATGTAGTAAGGAAAATAAAACTGGTTGCTTCACAAACACTTGTTACTTTAAGAACACAAGAAAACAGGCTTGTTCCTGAGTTTTGTCAATCATAAAAATAAATTTCATTTTAATATAAGCAGATTTAAATTGGCATGTGGTGTTTTATGGTGTACATTTATTAATAGCAAGATCAAAAAAAGGAGAATTGTTTCATGGATTGTCCCCTGGGGCAAATGCTATAAACAGCAGATACTAAGATGATTTTCAAATCTAGCACGATTGTTATTTTTTCTAATAGTGGTAAGCCTTAATTGGTTGTCTAAACCTTACCCCATCAACACTCTGTATCAAAAAGCCGTTATTAAATCATACCTACTTTGATAGAGGAAAATTATAACATGTATAATGAACCATTTGATACACATGAGTCTTCAACAGATCTTACATCAAAATTATGTGTGGTTACAAGAATATATAACTTATTTTTTACACCTTCAGTACACACTTTCTGCAGGACAGAGAGGAATAGGATGGGAGGCATGCTAAGTGCTGTCTGAAAGCTAGATAGTGTGCTTTAAAATGTATTCAGAAAATCTACATATAATATAGCATCTGAATGTAAGGACTGATGATCACTCCACCATGTGAAGGCCTAAGCCATAATCGCAGATTAAACTGTTTTTTAAAGCATCTATTATGATTATTCAAAAGTAAAGCTTAATTTGTCACATACTTCTTCACGGGTTAAGTGTAATTAAGGACAATGGCCTTCAAACTGGTGAATATTTTCCTCAACAAAGCTATTAATTCCTTCACATTCATCTCTCACCAAAGGATAGAGGGTGGACTACCGGGATAACTCTTCTAGGAGACAGTGTGGTGTTACTTTTACATTCCTAAACCCAAAGGGAACTTTTGCTCTGTCATTTCACATGCACAACCTCCCCCCATTCTTTTAACCCAGAAAGCTCATTCTCATTAGAAAATGGAGAATTTTTTCCTTCAAAGAGGTGAGAGACACATTCTCAATGTGTTCCTGTAGCTTTATGAGTTAAAACTACAAGCAAAACCCCATAACTTGAATTTTAAAAATATAAAATATGCAAAATACCTGAAGCATAAGGCTATGCTTTACCTCACTCTGATTGGAATGCTATTTACATTTGTTTAGGAACGATGTAGACAGAAGAAAGCTGGTCAGAACTTCACTGACCTGAGGTAGGGGTAGGTTCATGTTGCTTAAGAAAAGAGCACAGGGAAAGAACTTCATACAGAGCTCGATTATAGAAGAATCAAAATATTAGAGTATAAGCCAAGTTTAAACAGTGCGTGGGTTGGCTGCAAGAAGTGACAAAGCTAGCTGGAAGGCAGGGAAACACCACAGGAGTGAAGAGAGAAGGAAAAGTTTTAAATACCCACCAGAGCCTAAGCGCCCCCCCCGCCCCCCCGCCCCAGCCCTGGCTTGTGCTCTGGCTGCAAAGTAACTGCAGGGAAGCCAGGGGCCTGTTTTTAAACATTTGAAATTCTCCCTGGGACCAGCCTTGTCAATTATGTTTCTTTCTAGTGAAAGCGCTTTTGACTTCTCTGGCCAAGGCCAAGGAGAAAGGAAGATAAAGGGACCAGAGGTTTCCGCATGAGCGGCCGGCGGTGGGGCGGGAGGGAGGACTTACCGCAGCCTCTGCGGGCTGCCCCCAAAGACTCAGCACCAGTAAGAAGCTGCCGGCGGCCAGGCGCTGCCCACGCACTTTCATTCTTCACAGGCTCCCGCAGCTCCTTCAGCACCCGCACGGAATCACTGGCCGCTTCTGACCGACTGACATAATCTTGAGTGGTTATGGGGAAAGAACAAGCGCAGGACCGGGACAGGGAGAGTGTCCCAGTTATGCCGGTGCACTTGAGTGAGGAGAAAGCTTTTATAAGAGTGAAGAGATTTTAAAAAAGAAAAGAAAAAAAAAAAAGAACCAGAAGAGAGAAGCTCTTCTTTGCTCCCCCTTCCCCTCCCCAGAGTCGGTCGCTCGGGAGCACTTTTGCCTTCTGTTCGGACTTGCAAACTTTGCTCACTCAAGTCCTACCAACGTACTTTTCCTCGTTCCCTTCCCCACACCACCCTCCTGGCCAGTGCTGGGGAATTTGAGTATCACTCCGCCACGGCTTCACACTGCACCGGCAACCTGTGAGGGAGTGACGCTCAGTTATATGGATGGTGGGGGGATTTCTAGGCCAGTTGACTGAGCACCAGGACTCCGACCACAGAGCTTTCTTATTCCTTCACCTGCAACTTTCCTTGATAGTACCCTTTCCTGCCCAATCAGTCTCTCTTCCTGGTGTGAGCATCAAAGCCAATTACAAAAAGACCTGAGCTGGGACTATTTTTTAGCGGAAGGATCTAAAAGAGATGGAGCTTTTTATTGTTAATCATTAGAAACAAATTTTGGTCGCTGCTCTCTGGTCTTTGTCCTCTAAATGCACATAGGACAGAGTTTCTATATAAAGCAGAAGATGAGAAAATATTAGAAAGACAAAACGAAGAAAATGAAGATATTTGTGTATTTGTGAATACTTTATGCATGTGATAAACATGTAAGATTGGATGCATTCAGTACGTTACCAATTATTATGTTTGGATGTTGCTTTGATACAGTCACGTCTTTTTATTTAGATACATTGAATGTCATTATTAATATCTACCATCTATATTGAGCTAGCATAGAAGGTACTGACTCTCACGACTGTGTTTCACAAGGATTTATGGCAGGTAATTAAATAACAGTGTAATTCCTTACAAAGAACTCAAGCATCTAATTGCAAATAGCTATTGCTATATGGTATCAGTAGTACTTGAATTGCTGTCTCCTAAATAAAGTAAACATGAATATTAATCTGAAGACACTGAATTTTAAGTGACAAAAGACACAGAAAATAACATGGGCTCCTTGGAGGGTCTTTCAGGAATTTGCTGAAGAAGTCTTCAGAACATTTCTAACTAACTGTGTTAGTCTCTGGATTTTGGATCTGTTTTGCAGGGACCAATTCATCTTCAGGTTCTAAGGAGTTTAGAAGTTTGTAGATTTCTAACTCCAGAGACCCCCTCGCCTTCCCAAATGCTTAGTATATGATCAATCAGAATAAGGGTTTGTGCATTTGGGCCTATGTGCAAGTGCACTTTCAGGTCTATGTGTCTGTATAGTAACAGAATACCCAATTCTATTCATGTACGTAGGTCTTCGTGGATAGGTCGTCTCTAGAGACCTGTACATGAAGCTGTGGAACTATCGTGTATAGAGGTGCTTGAAATTGAGAAAGACAACCGGCTTCCCAAGGTAGGGGGGATGATTGACAGCAGACAGCTCCGCCCTAATTCCCCTCCATTCCTTCCTCTCCAGGCGCATGGAACTATCTCCTGAGTGCTGCAAGTTGTAGCGGGCACCGCTGAGTGTGTTTCCCATCGGGGAACTTCTTATCTAGCAGCTGACTTTAGTTTCTTCAAACTAAGCCACTTCGCCCACTTACACTGTTCTGAATAAGGAACAAACTGCCAAGCATCAACGGGCCCCCCCGGAGCCCTAGATGAGCCAGCGCCGCGGAACCGGTTAACAATCTCCCTGGACGCAGCTCCGGAGGAGCCACAAGCATGCACCCTGGGTGAGCTGTTGCTGCTCAGACCCCCTCCTCTTTCTAACTTCAGGCAACTGCCCAGCCAGAACTATACTTGTACTTCTGTAACTGCAGAGAAAGTGATAGCAGGCATCAGAGCGGAGTTGGGGCGGGGGGAGTGGGCACTGGTAGACGCAAGACCCTGTTACTCACCCTCCCTCTTCTTTCAGGTTGTGGCTGCTCCTGGTTTCCTTGTGCCTGACCCAAGAACTGGCAGAAGCGGTAAGGCTTCACAAGATCCTTTCCCTCCTCCCGCTTTGGCTCCCCCTCCTCCTCTTGTGTTTCTGTTGGGGGTTACAGAGGGTTTTACCGAATAGTAGTTACCACTACTCTCTTTTCTAATGGAAGTTAATAGGGTTCTTGAAAATGAATAGCAAGTACAGTGTTAGCCTAATGCCCTTGGGACTCTGGAATCTTCCTGTCCTAAAACATTGACATGGGTTTGGAAAACAGAGGCAGAAGGTGCAAGATGCACACATTTCTGAACCTCTTCAGGACACCTTCAGATGACTTCTGATGCTCTCTGCAATGATCTGCAGACCTGCAAAGCAGAACATAGCTTTCCCCAGTCTATGAAAACACAGACTGACACACAAGTTTGAGAGTGGAAAGAAAGCATCAAGGACTGAGACTTGAAAGTGTCAGGAATCGTATGAGAACTAAAGTCCATATTTACTTGTAAGTCCTTTCCTACATCAAAAAGTTAGAAGTTAAAGTGGTTAGGGCAGAAAAAACTTAACCTTTCAAGGGCTGCTTAGATACAGTCCATCAAATTATTTAGCGGCTCCAGGCAAAGGAATTTCTGTAGATACCTAGTCAGGAAAAGTTTAATAAGTCCCCAAAAATAGACAAACCTCCAATGGTATTAGCAAGATAATTTCACAAAGGTGGACTGACTAAATAATCAGCCATGCTAGTTTTTCAGTTGAACAACTTACTTGTTTTGGCAGAAATAAGCTTAACTGTGATGTTCAAATATGAAGTTAATTATTATTACTTCACTACAATATTTACAATCTTGACAATAGATAAATATTTGAAATATTTATTTGTGCTGTAAGCATTTGAACTAATTGGCTCTATTTTTAATATTTTTAAATACCCTTTTAAAGTCATACTTAATTCAAGTCAATAAACTCACAAATACACTTCTGAAAAAAAACTGTCACTTTATCTTGACATGATGTCTTTGAGAAAATATCACAGCCATGAAATGATTTTCTTTACATGAAGAAAGGATAATGCCAGGAAACTTGAATTTTAAAATTCTGTACCCTTAGCTCAGAACATCAGCTATTAGGTAAGTTTATCCTAGGTTTTTGTAATAAATATTGACCTTAGACTCTTGTGCACTTTTTGACCTGATTCCTCCAGTATCCAAGTTTAGTTATGTGTTTCCTCAAAGGTCTATGCTACATGTATTGAAAATGCCAGCTTTTCATTACAGTTTGTAAAAGTATCTTGCCACTTGTAAAAATGCTGCCCTTGAGTAGAATACCTCCAGTAAAATCTTTTTTTTTTTCAGAGTCTGGCTGATTTTATTCAGGAAAAACGTAGATCATTCTAGATAGGCAGACATTTCCAAAATACTACAACCTTTCATTTGATATGCTGGAGGATAATAATGCTTTTAATTCAGCCAAGCATTGAAGTGAGTCTCCAAAATTGGATTGTATCCTTTTGTCTCATTATTTTGCAACATTATCTGCTATGTCAGCAGCAATAATCATGGTAAGACTGAAATAAACCTTGAGGTCCACCGAAAATAATTGCTTTTTTACATTAGGTCCACAACTGATTCCTTCAGTGTTGTTTACTTAGGCACGGAAACTTTGCTGTTGTGAAGCTAATTTTTTAAATTTATTGGTGGGGATGAGAAGGAGAGGAGAGCACAAATTCTCAGAAGACGATTTTTAGGGAATATATTTCCTTTTAGACTCTTTGCACTGAGTTCTCATTTATGTTGACTGGTTCTTATCGTCTAATCTCAATTCCAGTTTATTCTCTCTGTCTGTAGTTTTTCACTTCTCAGATAAATGGAAGCATTTGAATTCCCAGTAACATATGGATAGATTGACAGGGACTCTGCTCTGTTGCATTTCATTATGAGAAAGTCTTTTCACTCTGAGAGAATTAAGTTGCCAATAATGGAATATTAATAAACGATTAACCATAGAGTCTTTAGCTGCTTTTGAGCTATTAGTTTTTAAGAATTTGCAATTCCATATAGAAGAATGGAAAGCTAAATGTTAAAGTCTGGAATTTATGAGTTTCTATCGAATTTATCTTAAAGGAGTGATGATGTTCAGCTGAAATGTCTGCTCAGTTGATCTGAGTAAGATAAGAGGCTAGGATTCCAGAATAGCAGGAATCCTTTAGGTAAGTGAGTAAGTACATAAAATGCTATCATAGGTTAGATGCAACATGTAGAAATTTAAATATGTGTAACTTCTAACTCCAGAAATTTTCTTTTTCATAAAATATTCATCATTATGTTTCATAAAAGATAAACTACATAATAGCAAGTTATCTTCATGTGCTCGATCCTGTTAGAAAAGATTACAAAGATACAAACTTCATCCTAAGGCATTGTCTGAGAGATAAAATACACCCGAATGTAGTGAGCGTCCTATGTTTTTATCTCATGTTCCCTGTATCCAAATGGCTTTCATAAAAGTTTCTGATGCATCCAAGTACATGTAGAGTCAAAAGGCTACTGGGACACTTATATGGGTAGAAAAGAGGGTGAAAGGTGAAAAACATCTCTGTTAGCCATGCTCAAGTCAAGATCTGACAGTATCACCAGCTTTTTTTTAAAAAAAAAAGCTTTCACATACACAGGTTGGTTCTTCAAATTGTCATTGGCCCAGTCATTTCAGCATCCATCAAAGTATGAATGCCATTTTAATGAAGTTCACAGCTATTGGCAGCTCCTGGTTGCTAGGGGAGGGAGACTCAGTCTTCAGGGATACACTTCCTGGGATTTTGCCCATGCTCCACTGGATGCCCTACAATACACATAGTGAAAGATTTAAGTAGACTCAGTAGATTTTTAAAAAAGCATATATAAAGTTGGGAGGTCAAAATGGTGGGGGTATGAAAGGAGTTGGAGGAGAGGGAGTGGGGAATGAATTTCAACAAAACGTATTGTATACATGGTTGAAATTCTCAAAAATTAAGTTAATTTTTTTAAAAAGAAAGAATTCAATAAAATGCCTCCCTACTTTAAAAATCAAGAGGATTATTTTCCATGCTTAGGGCAATGTCTATGAACTGTTAAAATAGACTCTGCTTTGGTCCTATAAAATATTCTGTATCAGCTAAGCATGAGTAGTTGCAATGTATCACATGCATATGTGTGTTTATATGAAGAGACAATAGTTATCCTGAGGTGACTGAAGATACTTATATGAATATCTGAGCATACCCAATCAAATGAAACAGTAAATAACAATGTGCATAGATAATACATGGGCAACAATAAATACTATTGACAGGTTAAAAATAAGCATCTTTTAGGGAGGGAACAGAGATTATAATAGGTATTATTTGGTGCTTTCCTAAAGAAAGAGATAGATTACCTTATCACAAATTTATTAGGTATTTTGATGACTATAATTCAATATAATTAGTTTCCACTGTAATATTGTGATTTTTTTTACGTGTTTTTAGTTTGAGGAAAGATCTTATGGAGTCCAGGCTGGATTTGAACTCTCCATGTAGCTAAAGCTTCTTCTGAACTCCTGATCCACCTGCCTCCACCTCCAAATGCTTGGGATTACAGATGAACACACCACGATGGCTAGCTTTAAATTTTACTGTATACTTTAAGAGTATTTTTGATAGTACCAGGAATTGGACCCTGGAGAATTCATGGGGATTAAATCTAGGGTCTCATGCATATTAAGAATATGCTGCACCACTGAACTACATCCCCAACCCAAAAATATTTTACTAAAATGGAGTCAGTAGGCTACGCTAGACTGCCAAAGTAATCTCAGGCATTAAAAAAAAAACTTTACTTAAGGAATTGGCTCTCATTAAAAATAAATTGTTGCTATCTCAGAGAGTATTTTTCAGGCAAGGATTTTTTTTTTCATTATGAGAGTGTTTAACTGAGTTTATCTTTTCAAGTATTGCTCCTTGAGAAAGTTTTGGAATTTAAAAAAAATTAATTGAATTTGTGTGTATTTCACACACTACATCTTAATTATCTTCATAACCCTTTCCCCACTGACACCCTCCCATAGGTCCCCCACTCGATTTCATGCATTCTGTCATTTGTATTAAGGCCTATCAAGTCAAGTTAGTATCCCCTGAAATCCTTCAGTGCATGTTCATCCACTGGGGTCAAGTCAGCCTACCAAGAGTCACTCCCTGAAAGAACTGCAGCTCTTCCTCACCCAGGAGTAATCAGCTATGGCAAGAGATTTTTGTTGATTATTAGTGCTATCAATCTTTTCATTTTTAGGTAGAGCGTTGCGTCTCCAGTAAATATGCTAATGAAGTCTATAAACTCAAAATCAAGACCCATCAGTCACAGTAGCAAAATATGCTATTGGCCTATTTACACCATTAATAAAAAATGACAGTATTTGGCCTCGGTTATTGATTTATATTGGTTATTGCTTGCTTGAAATATACTAGATAATTCCATAACCTTACCACTATATGTGTAGTATTGATTTGTTCCATTCTGTATGGAAGAAGGGACACACATGACCAGAAAGAACATATTGGCAAAGTCCTGGGCTATGAGTACATTGAAGCTAACTGAATGTCTAAGTAAGGTAGATGGTACAGCTTTAATTTGTTTTAAAGTATAACTGAATGTAAGTAAAACACAAGATGAGCGTGCCCAAGAGAAAATACTGATGGTAAAATTCACTAAGAGCAAGTATCTACTCTCTTAGCTCTCGTTATCTATTCCCCTCTTACAGTTCTTTTTCTATAAACAATATTGATTGAAATATCTTACATTCTAAAACCAAGATAAAAGCAAAAGACCAACAAAGGAAAAATAGTTTCACTTTGTTCAGTAACTCTAACTTTTTTCAATACCATTGCTTCTAAATTCGCTATTATTTTCTTCTCTTCTTCAACAGTGTATTGCAATCCAGACTGAGTCCACTCCACTCTAGTTGCCCACTTTGAAGCTGCTAATGGCTGCTTAAATAGGAAGCCCAATGGTTTCTTTGCAGTTTACATTCTGATTTCCCTGT